TAAGGCCAGGCCTGATAAGCCAGAGCCGAGGGAGAGGCACAGGATCGCACTCCCCCAATGCGACGTGCCCGAGAAGGCTCCCTGGAGGAGGGAGGTTTTCTCTGCCAAGACCTGGCCTGGGAGAGCACAGGCCCTGGGCCTGGGCAGACGAGGGTCTGAGCCCCGGCTCTACTCAGCCCCATCTTCTGGTCCTCTGTGGCCAGGACAAATGATTTCTGTCTCTCAGGGCCTCCATTTCTCCATCTGTAACATGTAACCATGCTGGTGTGGGCTGTTCTCCCCTGGCCAGCCGGAGCCCTGGGGGGCCCAGCCTTGCCCCCTCCTTGAGGTGTCCCTATCACTCCTCCTTAGCCCTCATTGGGTGGGGTGTCTGCAGTGGGGCTGTACTGTGCCCCACTGATCCCCAGCACCCATGACACTTGGCACCAAAAGGCCTGTGATGAGCACGGACAGCCTAGCAGGTACTATGCTCGGGGCTGGGAATGCCACATGAACAAGACGAAGTCCCCACCGAGCCCGTTTTACAGGTAGATAAATGCAGTGAAGGAACTGAAGGGTGATGGCATGGTGACTGCTCTTCAGACACTGGTCGGTGACGGCCTTCCTGAGGTGACTTTAGCTACGACCTGCGTCTGAGAAGAGCCAGATTTGTGCAGCTGTGGCGGCAGTCTTGCCTGTCAGCGGAGCAGCGGGTGCGAAGGCCCTGAGGTGGCGTGTGCTTGCTACATTGAACAGTGGAGGCCGGTGTGGCTGGAGCAGAATGAGAGGGAGGCAGCGGTCAAGGTGCTAATAAGGGTTAGGCTGTGCAGGGTCTGTGGGCCACGGCAAGGACTTGGGCTTCCTCACTTAGCTCAGTGGGGCCCACAAGTGAATTTTGAGCAGAGCGGGGGTGGGAAGCAACTTGGTCTGGATATTTCTGGGTGTAGCTGTCCAGGGGTGGCAGCTGTTCTGATGCTGCCCACCTTGGGGTTCAGGATACCGTTTTCCGACTCCTCACCCTAGGTGTGTGTGTGGGGGGGGGGGGGGGGGAAAAAGGGGCGGTCCCTGTGAGCACCACCATTCTTCTCTGTGCCCTCCCTCCTTCAGGTCTCCCAGGGCTCCCTGGTGCCTGGGAAGGGCAGCGGCTGTGCCCTCCTGCCCAGCTCTCCCCTTGGTGCCTGTGGGTTTCACTGGTAGTGGGCTCTCTTGCAGAGGCTCCAGGCCAGCTGGTTGTGATGCTGTCTGTGCCGTCTTCACAGGTTTCCTCAGCCTTGTCTTGAACTTGTGAAGTGGGATGAAACACCATCCTCAAGGGCTGCAGGGAGGTCATGGGAGCCCCCACCGATCTTCAGGCAGACAGATGGCCCAAAGCAGTGGTGAAGGTTCTCACCTAGTGTCCCAGACTTAACACCAAGGACTGTCTTACTCTGGAACAAGGACCTTCCTACTTCTTTGGTCCCAGCACCTCCATCCCTTGATAGGCTCTTTTCTGTGAAAACTTTCGAATAGTGATGGCCTGTGGATTCAACAGTCCAGAAGCCACTGGTAGCCCAGGCACACAGTAGGTGCTCACTCAAGGGTCGGGTGAGGCTGTCAGCGTCATGTCTAGCCACAGCAGATCTCTAGCCATCTTGTGGACTCAGCTGTACTTTTTGACCTCTGGGCATTACTTCTTGGTGTTCCCTTAATCTCCAATGCCTTTTCCTCCACCTTCTCACTCTGGAGTGTTCAGCAAACGCCCATAGGCCCTTACTCTGTGCCGTGCTGAAGACACAAAGGGAACAGGGAGGCCTCTGGAGCACATGGTCGAGTGGAGACAACCTGAGAGATGCCTGCAGGGCAGGGACAGTGGACAGTGTGAGGGTTGGGGGTGCTTGGCTCTGGAGCTGACCATAGCTTCTCTGGGTTCCTAAGGCTCATCCCCACCTGGTGCTGCTCTCGGGACCTTCCCATACCCACCGTGAGCGCCTTTGTACAGGCTATATTGCTGCTCCCTCATGGGAGGGGCGGTGGCACTGTTACTCCTCTTTACGGAAGTGGGGACTTGGGCTGGGAGAGGCGAGCTGCTTGTCCATGGAGGATGAGGCAGAGTTGCGACTTAAGGCCAGAACTACTTCCCAAACCCCAGGATGGGGAGGTTGCTGGGCAACAGTTGTGCAGGCTCCAAGGTTTCGGAGCAGGACACTGGGTGGTCCAAGTCAGGAACACATGGGTTCAACAGGTTTCTCTGCTCCAGTTCTTCTCAGAGCCTTTAATGGATTGCTGAGCACAAGGGCTGCCCTCTCTTGGAAATCCTTTTCCATTGGCTGCCAGGAAACAGACAAACTTGTGGCGAGTGGGATTCCCTGAGTGTCCCTGTAACCCGACTAAAATCCTTGTGGAACAAGGCAGGGTATTTCTCTCGCGTGGTATTTTTAAAGGCTGCTTTGATACCCATCAGTAAGACTTGAATAAGCGTTTTCCGTAACGATGTTGCATGTTGCTTATCCATCCAGGCAGCATCCATTCTGGTGCTGGGCTGGCAGGGCCAAGCTTTCTCTGACTGGGATCTGGAATTTGCCGTGTCTGTGTTTTCAGTCCCCCATCCAAGACCTACCTTCCTCCCCCACTTCTGGGAGGCGAGTAGGCTCTGTCTGTGGTCGCCATGTGAACTGAAGCTGCAGTGAGTAAATGGTGGAGCCAGGGCTCATTACCCACCTTCAGAGCCAGGCTCCAGGCCACAAGATGCGCTCAAGGGAACCTATATTTCCAGCTTCCTGTCCCGCCACTGCTATTTGTAGGAGAGGAGGGAGGGCCCCAAAGCCCTTGGAGAGACAAGACTGCCAGGGACTGGTCTCTCCTCAAAGATTTCACTCAAGGTTAAAGGCCCCGTTAGTGGCCAGGCAAGTCACAGTGGATGGGACAAGGCCATTGTGAGGGTTCGGCCTGCCCCAGTCAGGGGGTTCAGCATGAGCTCCACTTCCCCGCTCCACCTTAGAATAAACCCAAACCATGGGGACTTCTGGGCCTACTGTGACCACCTCACTGGGGGACACAGTCTTGTTCCTGTGGGGCACCAGCGCCTGGAGCTCAGTGAGGACTTGGCCAGTCTCTCTGCCAGGGTCTCAAGGTGGTTGTGAGGACAAGGTAGAGAAGGGTACATCCCAGTCCCTGGAAAGCTGGAGGGGCTGTCGCTTCAGCACTCGGGGAGCAGTGACGGGTGCAGTGAGGGACAGCAAGGCCTGCAGGAGGAAGGTCTGCTTCACCCTCGCTTCCCTCCCTTCCAGGGAGAATCACAGGGCCCTGGGGGGGCACAGCGGTTCCCACCACCCTCCAAAAGTACCCGACGACAAACCTAGAGCCAGGACTTGCGCCGTCTTACGTACAAGTACATGGAAGTTTCTGCCCAGTTTTAATGGCCACTGAACCAATTGTCCTTCCAAAGCTCACCCTGCCCTCTGGCTCCTCCATGTTCTTGACCTTTTCAAACAAACTCAAGCACAGTCACAGGGAAATACATTTTACTTTAATGTAGATTGTCTCAGGCATGTAGGTAATAGGAGGTGTGAATTTCACTGCAGGTGGAAAGGAGCGTGGTACCACACTCTGGCAGGTGGAGAGGGAGCTGCATGCTGAGGGTGGTCTGTAACCTAGTCCTCTGCTGCTGTAGTGGACCCACCTGGCTGGCCTCAGGCCCCAGCCGGCCACCACACTAACCCTGTGAAGAAAGGGGCTATTAAAGACGAAGACACACAGGCAGGAGGGCTGAGCCCTTCTCCAGGGCTATACAAGCAGAGGGTCAGGACTGACCTTAGAGCCTGGAGGGATTATAAAGCAAGGGCAGCTGTAGAGGGCAGGCCCTACTGTGAGGGTAGTGGCAGAGCTGGTTTGCATCTTCGCTTCCTAGCAGCCAGAGCACAGAAAAAATGGGTTATTCCCACGGGCGTCCCAATGGCCCTAAGAAAGAAGCCAGCTTTTTGGATACTGGGAACTGAGACTTGCTCCCAGGAGTGGACGCTGCAGGTGGTGGTGGGTGAGGCGACTGCTTACAGCACAAATACCTGGAGTGGCTTTGCCGTTTTGACCACCTAAGCACAGCTGTGACTCAGGTGGGTCCAGAGAGCAGCTGCTTGCTGGCCCAGCTTGCTCAGTAAGACAGGTGGGCTAGAGGGCAGGAGAGCAGGGGACCTGATGCCCCCAGATGTCCCTGTGGTGCCTTTTGGGTTCACTTCTCACCATCACAGTTCTGTGCCCTCACAGCACTCAACCAGAAAGGCCCCTGGTGCTCCTGAGTCCTGTCTAGCCCAGTCCAGGTGGGGCTGTTCTGTCCTCATGCTCTCCTGCCTCCAGTCTGGGCAGAGCCTCTGGCGTCGCCCACGCTCAGGCAGCACGTAGTTAGCGCCCCTGCTTCAGAGCCCAGTTCTTACCGGGGAGACAGGAGGAAGCCGTCATGCTCAGCCTCAGGAAGGTAAGTGGCCAGGGCCCTCAGGTGCCGAGGGGGAATCCTCTTCCCACCACAGCCGCCAGGTCAGCAGTTCCTCAGCTGCGGGGGTGGAGCTGGCACGGAGGCCCCACACTCAGAGTGAAACCAGTGGCTTTGCTGCTTAATCTCTACCCTCCCTGGGCTGGGACTGGGGCCAGGCCTGGAGTGGAACTGAAAGGGAGACTCGGCCTGTTCCCCTCTTGGCCTGGCCTACTTCCTCTCAGGGATCCTGAGGCTAGAGCCAGCGGAGGGAGTGGGGGGTAGGCAGGACCAACTGCAGAAGCAGAAGGAAGGAACGAGCCCTCCGTCCCTTACCCTTCTGTAGACAGGAAACAGGCTCCGAGACTGGCTGGCTGTGAACGCTGCCGGGGGTGCACAGGCCCCACACCTGACTCCCAGGCTGAGAAACTGGGTTACAAGGAAGGGATGGGGAAGAGACTGGAAAGGTGAAAACACTGGGGCTGGGATTTACTAGCTGTGCCACCCCTCTGTGCTCTGTTCCCTCAACTTGTGATGTTAGACAAAGTGAGTGGTTCCTAGAGCTGCTGTTACTGTCCCCAGATGCTGTGTCCAGCAGCCAGGGCAGGACTGGGACCTGCTGGAGGGGCCTGGACTGGGAAGAGCCTCTGTTTGGCCAACCCTCACTTGCCAGTCTGCCCGCTCGCCTCCATGTGGGAGGGGATTGCAGGCAGGCAGCGGCCCTGGGTCAGAGGTGCCCCGCTCCTGCGTGCTTACGGCATGGGGAAGCACAGGGCTTTGGGGGTCAGCTCTGGAAAAAAGGCAGCCTCTGGGCAGAGGTAGAGGTCGGACCCCCCAAAGCCCACCTCTTGTTTCCACCCCCACCCCACCCTGTGCAATGTGTTAGGGGCTGTGCTGTTCCCCAGGTGCACCTGGCTTTCTTCCTGGCCCAGGGAAAAGAGCTGCTGGAGGCAGGGGGGCTTCCCCAACCCATCTTAGGCTCTTTCCGCCATCTTATCTCCTTTGGTCTCTGCTGGAAGCAGCCAGCGACATCTCATGACCCTGAAGAAACAAGCTTATCAGGCTTGTCACCAGAGGAAATGGAGGCGATGGGGGGCAGTGAGGGTTCTAGGGTGCCCCGGAGCCTCCTGCTCCAGCCAGGCTCACTCAGGACCTGGAAAGAAAGGGCTCTTGCTGGCGTAGGGCTCTGGGATCGTTTCCACCTACTCTGAACCATGTGTGCTATGGGTGTCGGGGAGACCCCTGGCCCCACTGTTTTGTGAGGGTTTCGGCTGGCTGTAACAGAGCAGCTGTGCCAGGCTTTGCCCCTTCAGGCTCATTGGCAGAAGCCCCAAAAGCCTGTGGCTAAGCTACTCTGCCAACCTCCACCCTCCAGCCAAACCCACCCACCTTGTCCTGAGACTTGAGGGCGGGATTAGTGAGGTTTGGGAAATTCGAGGTTCTAGCGTTCAAAGCCTGATCTTTTCCTTCCTCGGGCTTCACCTCCAAGATTTGCGCTTCTTCTGGACTATGTGGTAATATAGCATCCTCTCCCCAGGATGGCTGCTAGCCCAGGAGATGCATGCTTGTAGGAAGCTGATGGAAGGGGTGGGCTGAAGGCATCACAATGACCTGGGGCCCTAGCAGCCAGGCAGCACCAGGAGAAAGGTGGATGGGGGTGGACACTGATGCCCCCTTTCTGGGCTTGTTCAGGGGTTTTGGCTGCATAAGCTCTTTGCTCCCCAGTGGGGAGAAGCAGATGACAGCAGGCAGGCATGTGTTGTGCTGGAATGGCACACAGCAAGGTGAGGGGGGGTTGGCTCTCAGCCCACACAGGTTTCTGGGGATCTCAGGATGTGGGGACAGTGCTTCAGAGGCTACAAGAGGACCCTCTGCGGGCTCCTGCAAGCCAGAACGCAAACTTCCTCCAGACTTGGGGTGCCTGCTTAGCAGAAAACCAGAGGCCTGGGGGGAGGGTGGGGGGCAAGGGGCCATCAGGGACAAGGCTGAGTAACCAACCTCTGGGTTTCCTAGAGTTCAAAGCCCAAGCTACAAGCAGCCTGCTCCAGCCTCCAGGAGGTCCGGCGATGCACACGCCTCGAGATGCCCGACAACCTCTACACCTTTGTGCTGAAGGTGAGTGACGGAGCTTCCACACCCGGGGGAACACGTGCACACACAGCTCACGGACCCACACCGCTGCTCCCTTCCTCCCACCAGGTAAAGGACCGGACAGACATCATCTTTGAGGTGGGAGACGAGCAGCAGCTGAATTCGTGGATGGCTGAGCTCCGAAAGTGCACAGGCCAAGGGTGAGGCACCAGACTCCCTTCCCACCTCAGCTTTAACACCAACCCTGCTCTTCCCAGACCCGTAACCCCCGCCTTCTCTGCAGGCTGGAGAGCACAGACCCGGAGCTGCACGTTCCCTCCGCTCCGGAGCCTGGCACGGCCAGCTCTCCCAGGGGAAGCACAGATTCCCTGAACCAAGGTGAGGTGTCTGGGCCTTTGTGCTCTGGGTGTGTCAGAACCCAGCCTCAGCCCAGGTCGTGAGGTGCCCCAGAGGGGGTCACCATTACACATCTTCTCAACCAGGTGCTTCTCCTGGGGGGTTGCTAGACCCAGCCTGCCAGAAGACAGATCACTTCCTGTCCTGCTACCCCTGGTTCCATGGCCCTATCTCCCGAGTGAAGGCAGCTCAGCTGGTTCAGCTGCAGGGCCCTGACGCTCATGGAGTGTTCCTGGTACGGCAGAGCGAGACCCGGCGTGGGGAGTATGTGCTCACATTCAACTTCCAAGGCATAGCCAAGGTATAGCCAAGGCAGGTGGGGCTGCTCCCCCAAGTTCAAGGCCCTTAGGGGCCACTGCCTGAGCCTCCCCTTCCTCCCCATGCAGCACCTGCGTCTGTCGCTGACCGAGCGGGGCCAGTGCCGCGTGCAGCACCTTCACTTCCCCTCGGTCATGGACATGCTCCACCACTTCCAGCGCTCGCCCATCCCCCTCGAGTGTGGATCGGCATGCGATGTCCGGCTGTCCAGCTACGTCGTGGTCGTCTCCCAGCCACCAGGTGTGAACCCAGTGCCCCTTGATAAAGGGGTGGAGGGCCCAGGGAACCACATAGAGGGGAAAGCTTGCTGCCGCAAACCTTCCGACATGGCCTCTTTGTCACTTGTCCCCCAGGTTCCTCCAACACTGTCCTGTTCCCCTTCTCCCTCTCTCGCTGGGATTCAGAGCTGGGCCTTCCCCACCTTAGCTCCTCCGGCTGTCCACGGGGGCTGGGCCCGGAGGGTCTCCCAGGCCGCTCCTCCCCGCAAGAGCAGATCTTCCACCTGGTGCCTTCGCCCGAGGAACTGGCCAACAGCCTGCGGCACCTGGAGTCGGAGCCTGCCAACCGTGCCCGGGACTCAGACTACGAAATGGACTCCTCCTCCCGGAGCCACCTGCGGGCCATAGACAATCAGTACACGCCTCTCTGACGGGCAGTGGACTCCCAGGCCACAGGGCCCTGAAGGAGCAAGCAAGCGACAGGAACTGGTAGAATGTACTTTCTTTCCTTCCTTTCAGAGAGAGTGAAGGGACATTAACTGCTCCTTCCAATTTGGATGTGACCCTTCTATTAGGCCTGTTAAAGGGCCTTCTGTAAGTTCCCACCTGGCTTTCTCCTTATTGTTTACAGATGTATTTCTTGTCCGCAGATGCCCTAGCTCCTGTCGGGCCCCCAGGACCAGGCTGGCAGTGGAAACTTTTTCTTACTGACACTGTCACAACTGATGACAGACTTTCTACGTGGGGAACGGGGGTGGGGGGGAGGGGGTCCATCAGGAAGCCCAAAACACTAACAAGCCCTGGATCCCTATGGCTTTCCCGCACAGCTTCCTCCACATGCAGCTCTGCGGCCCCTGCGCCTATCCACTTTGACCCAGCCTTACAACAGAGCTCTGGCAGGACAGGCTAAAGGTCAAAAATGATTTTAAACATTTTACCTCAGATAAATTTTTCAAATGATTCAGGTTTTAAAACTAAACCATTGCTTATTTCACTGCACTGTTTGAACTAATACCCATTCGATTTTTGTAGTCAGACAGCTATGCAACCCTCCTGGACTAGGGCTAAGCCAGCACCTGCTGCCAAGGAGCCACTGTCCTTCCTAAATGTAGAGAAGCGAAGCATGTGGCCATTTCAGAGAAATCCAGGCAGTTACTGAACTAGGAGGGTGGCAAATTCCAGTTCTACCTGGTGCCTTAGGAATAAACAACTGGATTCTGCTTCTGGCATTGCTATAGCAAGTTCTCCTTCCTGGCGGGCTCAGCCCCCAGCATCCAATGGCTCATTCAATTTTCCCACGAGGTTTTAGGCTCAATCTGGTGCCATGGCTGACAAGGAGCTGCTCTAACAGCTCAGCCGGTGCACTGTGCCAGCAGGTCCCGCTGCCTCTGAGGTGTGGGCATGCACACGTACACCTCTTCACAAGTGACACCACTCACCTGGGGGCTGGCTCCTCCCAGAGAAGGCTCAGTGACGAGGGGCAGTGACAGTGTGAGGTCAGCTGCTCCTGGGACCAGCTCAGCTTTAACATGTATGATACACGTCAATTAGAGGCTAAACCAAACCTTGGCCTGAACTTAACTCCTGCCTGCCTTATCTGGCCAGGGTCAGGGTTTTGTCTGCTCCCTCCAGCCACTCTCAGTTTCTAAGAGGTCAGAGGTGAGACTTTTGCTTATAGTGCTTATAGCATTTTCTGGTGGGTTTTTTTTGGGGGGGGGGGGGCGCAGGGCATCAACTAACCACCTCTTCACTTTCACTTTTAAAACCAACACTCCTGGGTGTTTCCACAGGTTGTAAAGCAGATCCGACCCCGATCCAAATTTTCGGTCCATTTCTAAGGACGCTTCTTTTCTACATACCAAGCAGGTTTCGCTAAGCAAAGCATGAACCAGAGGAGCACGCACTATTTTGAATGTCTCTTAAAAGATAAAGCTCATCACAGAAAGTCCATGCTGACAAGTCACTGGTGCAGAAAAAGGGCAAAATATACAATGAAACACACCTACCCCCTCCCTCCACATCTGGGCTATGACATCTTCAAGCCAGGGGCACCCACTTCTAAGCAGTCTCAGCATAGACGTCTCAGGTAGTACCAAGAGGCAGCAAACTAGTGGCTCAGCTCAGATTCTAACAGAGAGCCGGAAGTCACCGCTCCAGGCTGCTCCAGTATAAACGTTCAAGGAAAGTATTTCCTTTCCAAATGTGTCTGAGTTACCAGGACACCTCAAATACATTCCGACAGAAAGCCCCGCCAAGCTGGGAAGGAGTGACCCCAAGCTGGGCCTCTCCTTTCTGCTAGAGCAGGTAGAGCTGGAGAAGAGGGAGCAGTGGGTCCCTGGGCTGATCCCTCACAGTGACCCTGCTGGCCGTAGCTAGCCCACATGCCACCCTCCTTCCAGTCCTGATGTGACCACCGCTGGCCTCAAGAGGCCAAGCCAGCACCTCCACAGAAAGCCGGGCTGTGAGTGCCAAAGGAACAGTAAGTACTGCGTCGCTGCAGTTCTCTCCAACCAGACAACAGCCAGGGGACTGCTCTCAGCACCGTCACCTCCTGAATCTGACTTTAACGAACTTTTACAAACTAACAGTCACCAGCACCAAAGAATTAAGTCAACTAACCTGCCTTGAATTTTAGACCAGCAATCCATATGGCTTTATCTGGTATAAATCTTCTGCCTCTGATCATTTCTGGACCGTGTAGGAAAAAGGAATAGCAATCATTAAAATCTTAGACCACAAAACACTATTTTTATATATAAAATCAAGGCCTTGAACTCTTCCCTTCCCTAAGGGTTGCCTAAGATTCCTTCATGCTTTTATTCAGGGCTAACTCTCCTATTGCAAATGTCATGTGAGCTCTAACATCTCCCACAGGTTAGAGGAACTTGTATATTTCCACTGCCTCTAAGAAGGACACATCTGTCACCCAGTGTTGGGCTGGAATAAGCCACATTGTAACAACACAGAAAATGGGTTCAATCTTGTATCATTACAGGCAGAAGAAGGTATTTGGCAAATTGTTATATATTGTTTATGTACTGTACAAGTAACTTATTCTTGAATAACAAATTTTGCTATAATGTATAAATTGCTATATGTGAATTAAAAAATGTTTTCAGAATATTGATTTGTTGCCAACAATATCTAAAAGCTCTTGTGTATGATGACTGTGGTCTCTGAAATTGCTGCCTTGCGCAAACACTAGCTTTTCCCTTTGTTCTCCTCCCATAAATTGAGGACATTAACAGGTGCTTATGAGTCTATAACCGTAAACTGCTTTGTACATCACTGCACCTCTTCTGCCCTCCGGATTATCAGTTTTAAGTTTCTTTTTTAAAAAATGAATTCTTATTTTTCAATTACAGTTGACATATATGAGTTTCAGGGGTATCTTATTCACAGCTTTTTAAAAAGTATCTCCTGCCCCCTACTGGTAAAACAGACAGATGTCTGAGTCAGGACCCCTGGCTAAGGACATTCATTTGGGTTCAGGAGGATTGAAAAGGAAGCTTACAGAATCAGTCAGGCTGAGGGTGTGGAGTTTCAATGCTGCCCAACTCTGGCCAGCCTTCCTCCTCCGGAAGCGGACCTCTATCCACCAAAGAGAATAGCTCAGTCTTGTCTTTTCCTAGAGAAACCTTGAACCCGAACTAAAGGTGAAGAAGAAAAATCATTTGACAGCTAACCTTCCAGGATATTAAGAAAACACAGCCTTCCTGCCTTGGTATTAACTAGTAGCTTATACAAACACACACTAACTGGATATCAGTTTTTAAAACTTTTTTTATTTTTTAATTTTTTTTTAAGTTTTTATTTTATATTATCTACAAAGTAAAAGTTTTTCCCTTAACTTAAAAGTTGAACCACTGTAGACAGTGATCACTTCATCAAACTTGATTTATAAATAATAATCCGTCAGTTTGACGGTAAGAATTTACTGAAACTTTGTCAAGTTTAGTAAAAGGGTGTTCCAAGTCTTGATTTTTTTTTTTTTTTAGCAGTAATAGCAGCAAGAATCACTCTTGTTACTTTTGCTAGCTGATGTATACATGACTTTCAAGGGTTATTAAAAAATAAATAACTTCCAGTTTGAGCAAGCAGAGCTGGGGTACTTGCGGGACTCTGAAACAGCATTGGAATTGGAACAGCCCACAAGTTCCTAAATGCCTCTACTCGGTCCAAATATCTTCCACTGCAAGTGAACTGTTAGCATTCCTATTGGATGTTACAAGAAATCAACGTATATTTTTAAAAAACAAAATAAATGAAATTCTAGTTTTCTGTGCTTCCAGTTGGTAGAAGCAGTAGAAGGGAGGAGGGAATTTGGCCTTTCGGTTCCTCCAGGGCAGCCTTACAACTGCTGTTGGTGGTGGGCTTGTACTGTAAAAAAGAAAAGTGAATATTTAAACAGAAAACTGGCAACACCGCACATCAGCCTAGTGTCTCTGCAGCACATGACTGTAAACTATCCTTGTGCTAGCTGAACAGGACTCAAAATTTAGTTCACTTCCCCCTCCCATCTGCACCAAAGGGGGAGGAGGGGAAAGAGGGGTAGAACAAACCAGTAAGACGTAAAACCACTTCAGATAAAACTCCCAGAAGACTTGTTGCTCATGGGGTAGAGAAACAGGCTGTAACATACCCCCTCCCCAAATATTAGCCAAGCACCAGTCCTGCTTTCAGAGGAACGCCATGGCAATCTCAAGTGTTAGCACAATCACGGCCTCTCCCTGTCAGGGTGCCGGCTGGAGCAAATGCTACACAGAGCCGATCCACACACAGCACTGCTCGTCAGCAGTGTTCTCCAGAGCTACGATCAAACTATCATGGTGGTAACCCCCACGCAGACTTGGGACTCAGGAAGGAAACCGCTGCCCTGCCCAGCCTGTCGTAACAAGGAAGGCCAACTGAGTCCTAGGCAGCATCAGCTCCACAGCTGCCGCTGCTCCTCAAGCCAAACCTGGACCATCAGAACACACACACACTCGGCCCGGAGCCTCAGGCCCTGACACTGACTGATCGTCACAGTCCCTACTGTGCACACTGACGGGTCTTGCTAGTTCTCAAATGCAGGGTTTGAAGCGCTGGCTCTGCCTGCCATTCGACCTGTGCGAGCAGAATGCTTGGGGTGCCCGGCGGCCCCTGCACACACACGCCTCACCTGAAGGGTGCGTCATATAGGGGAAATGCGCTGTTGTCGAGACTGGAATGGGCTGTAGTGCACTTTGAGCGAGGGCGGCCTGGGGACCGCCGGGTGGCTGTGTCGTCATTAGCATCATTGGCGCATGGGCAGTTGGATGAGAAGGAACCATTCCTGACTGTACATGAGCCTGAAACAGAGAGCTCTTTTACGCATACAGGCAACATCTCCAGCTTAAACAACATGTTAACTGTGTTCCTTTCAGGGGCTGGGGCTCTCAGGAAAGGGCAACAGTGGGCCCCCAGGGCCCCTTCTTTTCTCTGGGGACACTCCCTAGTCGGACATCCATTGCCCTACAGACATGCTTCGCCCTTCAGCAGAGCGATCCTGCAAGGCTGAGGGGACAGACACCCCCTGACCACGGGGAGAATCATGTCCTAGCCTTCGTTTCTGATCACGTGATTCTCTACACAAATCTCAGACCCCAGGGCCACCTGTCCAACGTAACAGGCGAGAAGCAATCACGCTTGAGAATCTGGCTTCCATGA